GCCACAGAGCAGAACATCTCCCGCATCTGCCACAAGATCTGTTTCCCCAACGACACCAGTGAGGTGAGCCCCCACCCCTGCAAACCCCAAGAAATTGTCTGTGTCTGCCCTGTCACTGCTGCGCTCCAGTCGTGAACTGAGTACTGTACACCCTCATGTACTCCAGGCCAATGCAGGGACAGTCAGTCCCCTCACCCCCGGGGTGGCTGCTAGTACACTTTGAACTCAGGACTGTCCCAAAGGTACAGAGGGACATTCTAGGCTGGAGCAGAAGACAGAGGAGGCCAGAAGGGTGGGCAGCAAGCCTGAGTCCCAGGGCACGGGACCCCTTGGGCTTCTGACCTGAGCACAAGGAGCAGGTGCTGCCATTGGGTGTGCTGCCCATGTTGGGAGCTGGGGACCACTAAGGAGGCAGGTGGGAGATAGAAAACTGTCCAGTCCCAGCTGTGATGAAGAAGTCTTCAGCCAAGTAACAGCAGTAGAGTGAGGGGCAGAGGAGGCCAAGGAGCAATGAACCTTTATAGTCTAAATGCTGGTCAAGTCCCCAAATGGAAAGTCCCCACAGCCTGGCTGCAGGACTCTCAAACCAAGTACAAAGCCTTGGCATCTCAGACCCCCAAGACACTGAACTGTGTAACTAAACAACGTAACATCTGGCCAGTTTCCTAGAAGGAAGACTTGCTCTTCTCAGGCCAAGTGTGTCCAGCCCATCTTAGGAAAGTGCAGCACTGTCAGGGCATGAGGGGTCATCTGAGCTGAACCTTGTCCTGAAATACTCCTGTGCCATCCTTCTGCCCAGATGCTGGAGGTGAGTGCCCACACCCGGGTTCGGGATGTGTGCGAAAGCATCTCCACCAGACTGAAGCTGTCCTCCTGGGAAGGCTGTAGCCTCTTTATCAAGATTGCAGACAAGGTATGGCTGACAGGAGGGTCAGATGCCAGGGGAGCAAGTGGGCAGGGTATGTGGCAGTCCCCACATGTGCTGAGTAACTAAAAGGACAAAAGTGGGTGGGCTCACAGGTCCCCAAGTGAGCAAGGTCCAGTTGGCACCTAGCTTCCCAGGCCCCGGCATCCTCAGGAATGAACTTCCAGGAAGCCCCTCCACCTGTGTACCTCCCTTTGCCTCTTTCCCCACTCACCCCAGGTCATCAGCCAGAAAGAGGGAGACTTCTTCTTCGACTCCTTGCGGCAGGTATCTGACTGGGTGAAGAAGAGCAAGCCTCAGAAAGAAGGTGAGGGGGTGTCTGTGGGGTGGGGCAGGAATACATCTGCGATGGAGGTGCAGAGGCGGGGGCTGTCTGCCACCTTGGGCTAGGTCAAAAGGCTCCCCTAGCTTTTCCTGCATGGCTCTTGCCCTTCTTATTCATCCTTCTTATCTCCCCCGATGCCCATATCATGGGTATGGCCAGGCCTGGGAACAGCTGTGGGGGCCAACTGTGGGGGCCCTGCCCTGGAGCTCTCGCAGCTCAGGCAGGGACAAGGCATCAGGGCAGGCACAGAACAGATGAAGGATACACGGGGCCATGGGGGGCAGACAGGGGGCTGACCCACACAGAGAGGCCCAGGAACATTCCTGGAGAAGGTGACTTCTATACCAGAAGGATGAGGAAGAATTGGGGCCAGCGAAGAAGAAGGGTGGACAGGGGCGGCAGCAGGGGCAAACACAGCAGCAATGTGAAGGCGTCAGGAGAGTGTGCCTCGGGCAGGGTACATCAGGGACCTGGGCCAGAGGAGGGGGTGGGGGCATGGCCATAGAGCCTGGCAAGCCGGAGGTGGTCCTGCTGAAAGCTGGGCCTCGGGCCAGGCTGGGCGCTCACTGCTGCCCCTGCCCAGGGGCCCCTGTCACACTCCCCTACCAGGTGTACTTCATGCGAAAACTCTGGCTCAGTGTGGCCCCAGGGAAGGACGTGTGTGCCGACACCATACTCCATTACCACCAGGTACCCAGAAAGGCTCCGCCCACCCTCATTCCATCCCACACTTGCTCTGAGATGTAGAGAAGGAAGACCTATGAGAGCTCCCTTGTCCCAGGGGCCCTGACCTCTAGCACGGTGCGGGGGTGGAGGAGAGGGGGCGGTCAGGTAGCCAGGAACATCCAGAAGGCTCTCCAGGGGCTTCTGGAGCCCTTGAGGCCCCATATGGTTAACAGACCTACACCTAAGGTTTCTGGAGCCAGGAGCAGAGGGAGAGTAGTAGCATTTGGGGACAGTGACTATGCCAGCACGTGCAGCCTGACTGCCAGGGAAGGGTGGATGAGGGGGCCCTCCCCTGACCCTGCTAGTGCAGAGGAGCACTACCCTTTGTCCTGTAGGGTCAACTACTTAGGGGTAGAGTAAGCCACTGTGTTCACAGCGAGATGTTAGGGTCTCTGGCCCCAACTCATGGGGGTGACTGCCCCTGCAGGAAACCCTATCCTAAGGGCTGTAGCTTCTTGCTGGCTCTGTCTCCTAGGTGGGGGTGGGCTAACACCCCTGCCACCTACCGCATGAGTTAGGGGGCAGCAGCCTAAAGCCCAGTGTGCCTATCACCCAGGAGCTGCCCAAGTACCTGCGTGGGTTCCACAAGTGTTCCCAGGAGGATGCCATCCAGCTGGCAGGCCTCATCTACAAGGCCCAGTTTGACAATGACCAGTCCCAGCTAACCAGCATCCCCAAGATCCTGAGGGAACTTGTACCTGAGAATCTCACGCGCCTGATGTCCTCGGAGGAATGGAAAAAGGTCCTTCACAGGGGCTGGGAAGGGGCTTCAGGTTGCCGCCCCTCCCAGGGACCCTGCCTTGGAAGGATGAGCACATTGCTGGGCATGGAGGATGGGCTGGATCTGAGCATATCACACCTACCCCACCTCACAGACACATTCTGGGCAGGGGATACACCTGGCTCTCAGTGCACCACCCCTCCCCCAAGCTGGTCGCGGGTGTATAGGCTTTGGACTAAGCCCTCTGAGCCCTGTGTGAAGGGCCTGGAGAGGCAGTGGCCCCCACCAGACCGTCGCTGACCCTCATCTCCCACAGAGCATCCTTCTGGCCTATGACAAGCATAGGGACAAGACAGTGGAGGAGGCCAAGGTAGCATTCTTAAAGTGGATCTGCCGGTGGCCCACCTTTGGGTCTGCCTTCTTTGAAGTAAAGGTAAGCCTCCTGCCATGCACACCTGTGCTTGCCCAAGAAGGCACCACCCCAGCTCTGGCCCCAACATCCTGAGCTTCCCCAAACACACATCTTGGGGCAAGGCCGGTCACTGGGTTTCAGAGGGGCACGTGGGCGCACGTGTATGTGCATGAGCCTCAGGGAGGGCCGCCTGGCCTCCTGGGATGGGCTGTGAACACCACGCTCCTCCCTAGCAAACCTCAGAGCCCTCGTACCCGGATATCGTCCTCATCGCCATCAACCGGCATGGAGTTCTGCTCATTCACCCCAAGACCAAGGTAGCAGCAGGGCCCCGCAGGGCTGGGGAGGCTGCAAGGGTCCCAAGGACCCCCTACAGAGGTGGGGCTGTGGTCACTTGCCCTTCTGCCCCTCCTCCATGGCCCCAGGGGCTCTGGTGGGCCCCAGGGCAGCAGCTCAGACTCAGACCCTGAGCCACTCTGCCCCCCAGGAGCTGCTCACCACCTACCCATTCACCAAGATCTCCAGCTGGAGCAGTGGCAGCACCTATTTCCACATGGTGCTGGGGAGCCTGGGTCGAGGCAGCCGCCTGCTGTGTGAGACCTCTCTGGTGAGTCCCCTCCGCCAGCCCAAACACACAGGACCCAGAGGCGCCAGAGGCAGGCCCCCCCCCATGCTGATGCCCTGCTTCCACCAAGCCAGTTATTACTTATAGAAGCATGGCCACCTATGGGCAATGCCAGGCTGGGAGGCCTGGAAGGAGGTGAGGGAGAGGTGTCACCCAGGGGCATGGTGGCAAGGCCTGGCAAGAAGGCCTTGTGGTTCTGGGCCAGTCTTCTTGCAAGAGGAGCCCTATTTCCATTCTCACCTCCTTGCCCAGGGTGTCCCTGAGGCAAAAGCTGAGTACTGCCGGGCTCTGATAAGGACCACCCCCAGCCATACCCCACACCCCCAATATCACCCTTCCCCTGTCCAGGGCTACAAGATGGATGACCTGCTGACCTCATATGTGCAACAGCTCCTGAGCTCCGTGAACAAGCAGCGGGGTGCCCGGGCCCCAGCCCTGGCTGACCCTTAGCAGCAGTGGGACACTTGCCCATACAGTCGCCCCTCCTAGTGTGGGGTCCTTTTGGCCTCTGCTGGCAGCCTTTCATGCTGCCCCCTCCCCAAAACACTCCATAACCTTCATCACTCCAGGCTGGGCCTCTCCTCTGGGTGGGACCAGAGATGGCAGGCCTCCTGGCCCGGTTGGTGGATAGTTGAGACAACCCCCCAAGAATGCTCAATAAAAATTCCTGGAGCAAGGAGGAATGTGTCAGTGAGTTGAAAGGGTAAGGGCTCAGGTAGGCAGGAGGCCTGGGAGGCACTGGCTAGCGAAGGATTTCTTCCAGAAAAAGCAAAAAGCACTGTGACTTCTCCAGGGACACCAGGAAGACAACTCCTCTCAGAGAATGACTTTATTGGTTTCTCCCTCCCTCCTTTCTTCCCATTTCTTGGACTAGGGAAAAGCCCCTCTCACTGCACATCTTCCTCCTTCTCCTGTATGGCAATAAAACAGGACACATCATTGCTGCCAGCAAGGCCAGATATAGATAGAGGCTGCTGGCCTCATGCAGGAGGTAGATCTGGATGCAGGGCCATAAAGGCCTGGCTACACCTCCTGCACTGGCAGCCCTGTCAGAGCCTGTTCCCCAGCACACTCCACCCACCAGGTCATCCTTCATGGACTGAGGGTTTCTGGCTGGCCTTTTTCTTCAAGCCCTGATGGAAGCCTGGCCCTGAAAACAGAGGCTGGGTCCCACCAGACTCGTCTGGTTCTGTTGAAGTGTGTCCAAGAGGGCCACTGCCCCACCTCCTGACCCCATCGCCACAGACCACACAAACAAAATGGCTGTGTACATAAGCCTTTATTCATTGTGCAAGTGTGAGTCACACCAAGTCCTGTGCTGGCCATGGAGGAAGTGTCCTCCCTGGAGGGTAGGAATGAGCCACCCACCTAGCTCCACTACCTCCTGGACCCAGAAGCTTAATGTGTGCCTGGGGTGCGGGGATGGAGGGACTGCAGTGGCCACAGAGGAGCTTGGGAAAGCCACAGTGGCCCAAGCCTGGGATGGATAGCCAAGGCCAGATTTCAGGAAGGAAGCCTCATCAGTGAGGGGGAAGTAGGATCCTTGCCCCTCCTGCTGATTCATGGGGTGAGGTGGCAGGACTTGCTGGCCCAGTTCAGGCATGAGGATCCTACTTGGTTGAGTGGGTGGCAGAGGGATGGAAGGGTGGTTTGCCAGAGGCCCCCTTCCATGTGGCCTTGGTCCTGGGGCAGCTGCCTGGCTGTGTGGGTCCACATGGGTACACAGTGGGGCCACTCTGGGGCAGAGGCTAGCCAATCCACCACAGAAGAATGTGAGCTGTCAGGCTGTAGGAATTGGAACAGGTCTGCTAGACAGAACTAAAAGCAGTGGCCCACATCCAGGGTCAGGTGACTCCAGGTCCCCATTTGCTCCTGTCCCTTGAGGACTTCAGGCTAAAGCTTGCAGGCACAGGCCTGCCATAGGCTCCACAAGCAGAGCCCCACCTCTGCCCTGTGCCTGCAGAGAAGGAAGGAAAAGGAACCCATAGCAAGGGAGAAAAGAGTCCCCAGGGAGAAGGCAAGAGAAGGGAGCAAATGGAACAGGAAGGAATGCTGACCAGAGAGAAGAGGCGACAGATGGAGATGAGATGAGCAGTGGAGGTGGCAAACAGAAAGGCTCAGCAGGAGCAGGAAGACCAGCAAGAAAGAGAGAAAAAGTGATGGCAAGGGGAGGCCCCTCAGGTAGAGTGGAGGCCCACAGACTTGGGGTGGGTCTTGTGGGCGGCCAGCTCCGCCAGCTTCTTCAGCCGCTTCTTCAGCTCCAGTGGGAAGTTCTCATAGCATCTCTTACACACGGGTTTCATGTCAAACTCCACAAACTTGTTCCTGGGGAGGAAGTGCAGCAGTCAGGAGAGCCCTGTGCCCCAGCAGCTCTGAGCCAGGTCTTCCTCAACCCACAGAGCCAGAGCCAGAGAAGAGGCCTGCCCTCTGCCCCTAGCCCACAGCCTCCCCACCAGCCTGCCCCAGCCAGCAGGCCAGGCCCCATGGTGAACTTCTTGCCAGAGGTCACGTTGGACAAGGAGATGAGCCTTCAGGCCTCCCTTCCCTCCTAAAAGCGGCTCTCAGATTCTGACAGTTCAGAACCCACCATCTTCCCTGCTGTCCTCAGAAACCTGCTCCACCTCAACTCACAGCACCTCTCTCAGCTTCCTGGATGAGCCAGCAGTCTGAGTCCTTTGCCTTTTACTTTGCTGTTCCTTGGGCTGCAATGCTCTTCCCCCCACCCCCAGAGTGAATGTGTGTTACCCGACATTTAACCATGCCCCGGGGGTCTCTGGACCTGCTTCCATGGGGCTGGAGCTGCCCCTTGCTCCCATTGCACCCCCAGGGCCTGATAAGAGAAGGTGACCGGGAAGGCCTGATGAAAGGCAGAGCCCATAGAAAGCCCACTCAGATTGGAGCCCCTTGACATGATCCACGAGAAGGGATATGCTGTGCAGGTCCCCCTGGGAGGTTGGCAAGACTTACTTCAGGGTGAGCTTATTGTTGCAGGTAGAGCAGGAGAAGCAGGTCACACACCAGGCCTTGTTGAGGGCTGATACCACTGTGAGGGCAGATGGGGCTGGGGCTTAGCAGGCCTCTCCTGCAGGCCCAGCTATGCAAAGTGAGGGCCAGCTGGGTCTACAGCTGCAAGACCCACTGTCCAGAGGGACCAGATGGGGGGCAAAGGGTAGTGAAGGGGAACAGGGGAATGAGGGGGCACAAGGACAGAAGTGTCTTACCATCACCCTCAATCACATGACTGCAGCCATAGCAGATGTCCCCAAAGAGCTGTGGACCAAACAGATATCAAACATACAGGCAGCATTGTCCCAGTCCCAGGCCTGGGGTGTCCTTGGCTCCAACTCTGCCCCACCACCTAAAGCTCTTAGCATCCATCTGGGCCTCCAGCCTCAGTCCTGAGGTAAGGGCACCCATGGCACGTCAGAATCAGCCCCTTGGAAGGACAACAGGTTGAGGCATTGCTCCTCAAAATGTCCCTCTGCTCCTGATGCTGTCCTGAAGGATATGGGCCAGGGCAGTAACCCCCATCTTCTGCACCAGAACAGCTGAGTAGCCTTGCCAGACATAGAAGAAGGATGGAGGCTGACGGCACATGTCAGCCCCATGAACCCAGGACTTCACATTGTTTTCTTGTTCAGTCCCCACAAGAGGCCTGGGCTATAGGAGCACATCTCTCAAATGAGGATACTGAGGCAGAGAGGGCTGCCCAGGTCTCAAGACACTGCACTGGGAGCCTCAGCACCACAGCAGACTCCTGAGTGGGCTGCCCCACATCTTCCCCTGCTCTGACCTCCTGTTTTTCACACAGCAGCCTTCTCAGAATACTTCCCTGCAGGTTCCCCCAAACCCCCCAGTCCCCAACAAAGGCAGGCAGGCTCTCTTCCAAATCTGCATCCCTGCAGGCCCTGCCAGCCCACCCTGTGCCCCAGGCCTCACCTGGTTGTAGTGGGTCTCACAGTAGGCCAGGCCTTTCTTCTCATAGTGCCGATGCCCTAGGAACGGCTTCTCGCACTTGGCACAGACAAAGTGCTAAGAGGAGAAGGGGCGGTGCAGGGCAACTCAGGGCTGGAGCAGTGACCCCAATGCCCAGAGGAGGTGCATATCACCCTCCTCTCTAGGCCTGCTCCATCCCTAGCAACCTCGGCCCAAGTTGTCAGATGTGAGCGAAGTGCCTGGAGTATGCTGGGCCCTCCCAGGTGGGGCTGCTCTGTTATTTGCACGGTGCCTTCTTGAAAGGCTGTGTGTGTCTGTCTCCCATGGGCATTTCCCTATGAGCCCCAGAGTCACTGAGCAGCACCTTCCCATTCAGCGAGGATTCAGCCACCCCCAGAGGGTGGGGGACCAGGCCTGCATCTGGAACTTCCCAAAGATGCTACCGAAAGCAGAGCTTCTGGGACACAGGACTAGCCAGGGTATTGAGGATTGAAAGCCTCCTTTCCGAGTAATGTCCATACCATTCAAGCCCACAGTGCAGGGGAGTGCTCCAGATAACTCACCAACAGGTATACCAGCTTCCGTGTGTACATGGGGCTGTAGACACAGCCAGTGCTGTCAACCACAATCCTACAACCCCTAAGGCTTTCTCATGACTTTGGAATCCTCTAGAAGGCCAGCAGGGGGAGGAAGGAAGGTGGTCTCCTGGTTCACCCAGATGAGCTGGTGCCAGATCAGGGGTGAGGCGGGAAAGCGCCCAAGAAAAAGGTGCCTGCTGGGAGCCAGCCACCCAGCCTGGGGGTGGGGTGTGGAAGGACTGCCCAGCCAGATTCCTACACTGTCCAAGAGCCAGGGGCATCCCCACCTCCTGTCTGGGCCAGTCTCACTCACCTCCACATGCCACTGCTTGCCCAATGCATTGACCACACGACCCTCGATGGGCCGGCGGCAGGCCCCACAGATGGGGACCCCCATCTTGTCATGGCATGGCAGGCAGTAGAGTTCCCCCTTTAGCTCTCGGGATTCAGCGGTCAGCTCCTTCCTAAAAGACAATGCAGAGCCCCCAGATGACATCCCTGCCATTCTTCAGGGTCCCCTCTAGCAGGGACTCAGAGCAGCCCCTCCAGCCCCAGGGAGCAGCTTCCTGAGAGGCCCCATTCTGTCCCAGCAGAGCACCCTAGGCAAATGCCTCTTCGATCTCTTTGGGGATTTCTGGTACCTCAGGCCCCAGGGCACTGAATTCCCAGAGATAGTACTGTCAAGTCCTCTGAGAGGCAGGCATATCTGTTCTCTAGGCCCCACCACACCAGACTGGGGCCTGCGGCAGCCCCGAGGGGATGGCTCTGCAGCCTCTCTTTTCTCTTTCCTTCACTCTCCAACACCAGCAGCAACCCCTCCTCCTCATTCTTGTCCATCACGCCTTTGATTCCTTCCTGTCAGCTTTACCCAGGGGCCTAGCCTTCCCTCACCGCTGAGTCTCAAACCTGGATCATGCACATCCTCCCTGAACAGAGCCCTGGAGAAAGGGGTTTCCTGCAGTGGTGCCTTCCAGGCCCATCCACTTCCTCCTGGCACCCCACTCTCCTGCCCCATCACTGGCCTGGGTAGGGGGGTCCCACCCTGCTCTCCACCAGTTCCTGTTGCAAGTACCTGCAATGGGTGCAGCTGAAGTGGTCCGGGTGGTACCAATCACTCCTGAACATGAGGGGCTGTTCCTCAATGACCAGGTGGCACTGCTGACAAATATACTTGCCCAGGCCCTTGGCCTTCTCGAGGTTGTGGCAAGGCCGGCACAGGTGCCTACAAGAAGCAGGTGGGTATTGAGGAAGACTGCCCACTCCTCCCCTTCTTCTCAGACCTCCCAGAAGGGATCCCTGGCCCACCCTGCTTTCAACGAATATCTGTGACCCTCAAGGGACCCAGTCAGGGTCCCAAAGAGCAAGCTGGCCAGTCCTGCAGCCCCACAGACACATCCTCCAAAAGGAGCCTCTGCAAAGGGAGAAAGATTAGGAGGAGATAAACAGGAGAATGGTGGTATTTGCTGTTTTAGGATGGTACAGCAAACATAATAGTTCTCTTCTTCCCACTTTTTCTGAGCCCAGGACATTGTGTGGAATAGAGTAGATATTTCAATGACTTTTACCAAAAAAATAGTTTTATTTTTCAAATGTCATTTACCACGCCTGAGTGGTCACATAGTAACTATTAGACTTACAACCCTGCTATGTCTAGCAGAGTGGCCAAGGAAGGTCAGGTTTGGCAACCTGCACAAGCCTTCCTTTGGGGTCTGCCAGACAAAGAGGGACTGAATATCTACAAACTCTTTCTGGCTCGAAAGACAAGCATGGCTGTGTCAGATGGAGGCACCCAAACCCAGGAAATACCATTACAGAGTCTTTTTTGTGTAGACCTCAGAGTAATTTCTGATGTTACTCCCTGCATTGGGCAACAGCTGTGGTCTCTACTGAGAGAAATCAGCATGGTTTCTGTTTTCCTGTGCCTCAAAGACGGCAGGCATTTAGGTTCCAGGTCCACAGGCAAAGATGTACAAAGGCCCCAGTGCATCGCTCTATTCCCGCTACCCTAGACCTACAAGTGTCCCCTATGCATCCAGCCCCATACCCCCCGACCCTGTTTCCAGACTCACAGTCCACAAGGGGCCTCTCAAGCCCTCACCTGCTCCCAGAACTGGCCCCTTTACAGGAAGCTCAGGGAGTTCACTGAAGATTAATCTCAGGCCAGGGGTGGTAAGCAGATCCTGGATGGCAGGGCAGCCAACTCAGGGTCCAGCCCTTGACCACAGGGCCCGCGCCTCATTTGGGCTGGGCTCCACGCTGCGTAACACTGATCTCTGCTTCCCTTGACTGTGTGTTATCTCCTCAGAGGATGCGACTAGCAAGGGGCTCAAGTAAGTGTCCAGTAGCCACTTGCTAAGCTGCTCACTACACAGGGCAGCAGCTCAGGATGAGTCTGTTGGCACGTCAATGAATGAAGGTTATGAAACAGACGAAGGGAGGGATGGTGGGCATCATCTCCCTGTGACAGCATAGCCAATCTGAGACTGGGAGCTGGTCCCCTGGCCCACGACCACTGGCTCTCTCTACTTGTCCATGGCAGTGACTACAGCCAGCCATTGCCCCTTTCAGTCCCCAGATCCTTGAAGCCCATGGGCTTTCCTCACCCAACTTTTACCCAAACACCCTGTACCCCCAGGCACCCTGGCACAGCAGGCCACACCATATCCATTGCTTGCTTGTGTGTCTGTCACAGACACAGCATTTACAGGTGACTGCTCTTATCATAAGAACAACATTCAACTCAAATGGAATAATTTTTGTTTCAAAGCTTTAGAAATTAGCACAATTCCCCAAAATTCTGTTGAAATGGTCAATGACCTCAAAGCCTCTGCCAGCAATCACCGCAACCACAGAAGTGCACCACTCGGGGCAGCCAGTATGAGTCAGTTCTTCCAGACCACCACTCACAGGGCACGGCACGGAGGTGACGAGCCCAGGCTCCCGTACCTGCACACCCCACTGGCTCCCAGGGAGGGCAGAATCCAGAAGCACAATTCTCTTGAAAGAAGTGCAGATGGGAAGGGTGTTTTTGACAGACCTGATCCCCTCACCAGATCTGAAGGCAACCTGCAGAACTTTTTTCCAGGTAGAATGAAGATGGAACCTAAGAATTCTAGCATCATAAATACAACAGAAAAACAGAACAGAACAAAACAAAACAAACACATGCACAATGCAGAAGTTTTGGAGTCATACATACTTGGGTTCAAATCCTGGCTCTGCCACTTCTAGTGACTTGTAACTGGTACATTGTGTCACCTCTCTGAGCCTCAGTTCCTGGTCTATAAAGGGGCAGTAACCCAACTGCACATGACTGGGTGACAAGTTTAAGATAATACATGTGATAGTTACTTCTCAATCAGAGCTACATACATAGTTTACATTTCAACTAAAATATTTAAGTCTTTTGAAAATGAAAATGGTGATTTTGTTCCCTATGTTACTGGAAATATCCTTTTTGGAGAGACAGAGAAACAACCCTTGCTGAAGCAGTCTCGGAAGCAGCCACTGCTAACATCCAAATACCCCGGCCTCAAACACCCCCAAGACTCATCTTGGGGGCCAGTGGGCAGTGGGCAACAGTGGCCCCTTCACAGGCCTCCCATGCAGAGGAGGGGCCCACACTGCTGAGGGCTAGGCCTCCAGGCTGAGCGGTCCCCACAGGCACAGACAGCACCCCATTATGCACAGCCTGCAGCTGTTCCCTGCTCAAGATAAAGGCCATGGTTTATTCCGCACACTGAAATGGAGCCTAATTATACAGGGCAGGACACAAGGACCCTACATCAAGTGTCCTGAAAAGTTCCTCTCATTCAACCAGACAAGATTCCTCAGCCTCCCACCCTCCCCATTCACAAGACCCGTTCACTGTCTCCCATGCAGGCTTGGGAGCCTGAGCCCATTGCCATGGCAGCCAGCCCATCCATGCAACTCCCAATGGTAAAAAATTGTCCGCCTCTGAAATGTCTTGTTGTGTCCATCAGTCCCAGCCAGTTCCCCCACCCAGCCCGCATCAACTCTGCTGCTTCAAAGACACACACTCAGCCTCTTTGATGCTCAGTGGCCAAGTTAGGGGTGAGGGGACTCCCAGGCTGGGACACACTGGAATATTCACAGCACAGTGGCAGCAGAGGCAGCCATAGGAGTGGCCCACCACACAAGGGACCCCTTGGGAGTGAAGCAGTCTTTGAGAGCCAGAGGGGCTGCAACCTCCCCTCCTCTCCTTAAATAGCCGGCCTTCCACCACAGCTGCACGGAGCCCACCGCCACACCTCAGTCTTCTTGCCCCTTCACCTGCACCCAGCTGCAAGAGGTAAGGGCCAGGGTTGGGTGGGGGCAGGCAGGGTGTTCAGGGGCTAAGCAGAGGGAACTTTAAGCCGAGCAGGAGCAGGGTGTGTCTGTCTCTGAGATGCCTCTCTGACATGATGGTAGAACCTACATCTGGAAGACACCCCAGTCTGAATCATAGCAGTCCCATAGGGTAGTGTCCTTGAACCCCATACCTTACTTGTGGGGCCCCTGACCCTCTGCTCTGGCTGTAGCCTGGGCACCTCCTCCTTCTCTCCTGCTTTTCACCTGATGGGCTTACAGACAGTGACTTGCCTCAGACCCACAGTGCAATGAGTCAGCACCCAGGCTCCTTACCATTAGGCTGCGGTGCACAGGGAGAGTCAGATGAGGAGCCAGGAGGGAGAGGTGCCAGACTGCCTGCCTACTGCAGGGCTGCCACTGAGGCCTCCTCCTATGGCCGCACCTGCCCCCTGTCATTCCCCTTACCCAGAGCCATGCCACCCTGACTGGCACTGCCCAGGCTGCACTTCACGAACCCTCAGCCTCCCTTCCCTAAGCAGAGCAACCCAGCGCAGAGGGGTGTGTGCAGGCCAGGTTCATGTGTCCATCCATGGCATGCATGGAGAATGAAACGAGCCTATTGCAGATACTGCAAAAATCAGTATCAAAACTCCTAAAATAGGCAAGGGATAGAGAAATCTCAACAAACCAGAAACGAGCATGAAAGCATTTTGAAATCAAGTCTCCATCTAGAGAGCCTGCACGCATGCAGCTTTCAGCATGGGTATGAGGCCAAAAGTACCGGGCAGAAGGTCGAAAGCCAGGTGCTGGCAGGCCCACCTAAAGCCACAGTAGATTATGTGACCTGTGTGGTCACGCCTTACTTGTGGGGGGAATGACCCCCTGCTCTGGCTATATAGCCTGGGCACCTCCTCTGCTGCTGGAATGCTGCTTCTCTCCTGTGAATAGCCCCTCCCCCACCCCGCATTAGTCCCAACACAGAGTCCAGGAGTCCCGAAGCTGCACTGCAGGTGAGAGTACACCAGGCTGAAGCCTATAAGCAAACCCAGGGCAGGAGCAGCAGGGCAGGAGCAGCACCAGGGCAGGAGTAGCAGGGCTGGTGGCCTCCCTGCTCCCTGCTTTGAGGGTTCCCTGCCTCTTGCCCTCTCCTGACCACACCTCCCACTCTCAGGCCTGGTGAAGGAGTCCTGCCTTCTTCTTTTTGGATCCCTTGAGTAGACCAAAAATCAAAACAGGAGTATGTTACCCTGTCTATTGGGGAGGACACCCATCAGAACCAGGGTTCACCAGATGTATAATGGCTGTTGTCAAGGCCAGCAGGGCTCTGAGCTGACCTCTCTGGTCCGGGTGAAGCCAGGAGACAAGTGTCCTCCTGGCCCCAGCCTCTCTGGGGCTGCAGGTCTAGAAAACCCTGGTCAGTCTCTTCCTTTGGGTAAAATGGCTCTGTCTCTCCTGGGAAAGAATCTGTTCCAGGTTGTTAAACTACTCTGAGTAGTAAAACAAATCCTGCTGGCCTGAGGCTTGAGTGAAAGGCTTTTTCCACCCATTTGGGTATCCAAAACAGTTTGTGGGGTGAGTCCAGAAAGCTCAGGAGACCTTGGGATCTGCACCTGTATGACCTTTGGGTGCCAGCAGACAGAGCAGGCCTCTGACCTGGGACACGGCCCATATCTGCATTTCTGGTGAGGCCGCCTCTGTGGCAGGTGCCAGGGAGCTGCGGTCAAGGCTGGCCAGGAGAGAAGGCAAAAACAGCAATGCTCCTCAAGGCCACTATGGGAAGTGCCTTGACACCCAGACAAGCAGGCAGGTCAGGGAGGGTCCTGGGACTTGGGGTGAGCAGAATTCACCTGGCAAGGTCAAGGCTGGAGAGGAGCTGGCAGGGTTCCACACACCAGTCTCTTGCGACTAAGTAACCCACACCCCTGCCCATTAGGGGTGGGGCTCAGGCACTCCACATGCCACCCTGCCACTTCGATAGCACACCTGAGGACCAGGACAGAAAATATGGGACCTCTCCCTCCACCCTTCCACTCCCAAAGCCTCAGGCAGACAGGGTTCACTTCCACTCTCCTCATGGTGTTGACTCTGTTGCCCGGGGTCTGAGACAATGAACTCTGGGATACCAGCTGGGCAAAGGTTTTGGCAAATTCAGCAGGGCACAGCCTCCCAGAGAAATTAGCCCGGCAACAGCCTGGTAAGCACCAGGCCCTGAGTCTGTTTGTGCTTTTTGGTGAAGTTCAGAAAGATTGTGACACAGATAAACCCAGCAGGTGCCCCCATTGCCCCGCAGGAAATGCCAAGCATGAGACAGCATGACTCCTATGGTTAGGGACTGGTAGGTTCTGGAAGCATCCCAGGATTCTCTTTTGGGCTCCCATGGAGGGCAGCGCTCTACTGGGATCTGTCCACTTTCCTTCCAGGCTCATCACCAGGCTCTGCCTCCAGCAGAAGCATGAATGACCTTGAGGCAGAATCCCCAGGTCTGACGGCCAACTCTTCCCTGGCCACTGCAAACCGGTGTGGCCAGGAGACGTGGCTGGAGAATGTCCTCTTTGCTTCTTTCTACCTCCTGAGTTTTCTCCTGGCTTTCGTTGGCAATGCTCTGGCCCTGTGGCTTTTCATCCGGGACCGCAGGTCAGGTACCCCTGCCAACGTATTCCTGATGCACCTGGCCATGGCAGACCTGTCCTGTGTGTTGGTCCTGCCCATGCGCCTTGTCTACCACTTCTCAGGGAACCACTGGCCATTTGGAGAAATCCCATGTCGCCTCACAGGCTTCCTCTTCTACCTCAACATGTATGCCAGCATCTACTTCCTCACCTGCATCAGTGCCGACCGCTTCCTGGCCATTGTGCACCCCGTCAAGTCCCTCAAACTTCGTAGGCCCCTGTATGCACACCTGGCCTGCGCCTTTCTCTGGGTGGTGGTGGCCATGGCCATGGCCCCACTGTTGGTGAGCTCACAAACCGTGCAGACCAACCACACAGTCATTTGCCTGCAGCTGTACCGGGAGAAGGCCTCACACCACGCACTCGTGTCCTTAGCTGTGGCTTTCACCTTCCCCTTTGTCACCACTGTTACCTGTTACCTGCTGATCATCCGCAGCCTGCGGCAGGGTCCCCGTGTAGAGAAGCGCCTCAAGAACAAAGCAGTCCGCATGATTGCCATGGTGCTGACCATCTTCCTGGTCTGCTTCGTGCCTTACCACATCCATCGCTTTGTCTACGTGCTGCACTTCCACAGCAGTGGTGCGTCATGCACTGCCCAGCGCTCCTTGGCCCTGGGGAACCGGATCACTTCCTGCCTCACCAGCCTCAATGGGGCACTCGATCCCATCATATACTTTTTTGTGGCTGAGAAGTTTCGAAATACCCTGTGCAACCTGCTCAGTGGTAAAAGGCTCTCAGGCCCACCTCCCAGCTTTGAAGGAAAAACCAATGAGAGCTCCCTGAGCGCCAGATCAGAGCTGTGAGTTCCAGCCATCACCTGCGCCTGCTTCACACTGTCTCAGGACAACTCCCTTAGGGTTTTTAAGCTTCTCCCAGACTCGCAGAGGAGAAGCCCATTTCTCCCCAGCTACATCCTGAGAAAAGAAACTGAAATCTCAGTGGATTACAACAACTCCCTCCAAAGTCAGAACTCATTACCCAGCATCCAGTTCTGACTGCTCCGGTGCACAAATTCCTAAAAACGGAGAACTGTCTGAATCAGCTGCCCCCTCTGCAGACTGTGCTGGCCCAGCTCGTTTACAGCTATTAGGTAATCAGTGACTTTGCCCTGTAGTAAGAGGGGCAAGAAGGCCAGAGGAATAACTCCTCAGCAATGAGTGTCTTTCTTTCCTGACTGCTGCTCAGCCTCCTTTCCACTAAGGAAACACACAGCAACAGAGCTCTGAGGAAAGAACTCAGAAGGTGACTGCAAATGTCCCCTGAGAATAGGAGATGCAGGAATCCTGTGAGGAGTAGGAAGCATGTCTAAGTATTGCCTGTGACATGCAAGGTGCTTTGAGTTCGTTTTGTGGCACCTTTGCCAGATGTCCCCTGAGTTTAGGGGGCACAAATGATAAATTATAACTGAACACTGTAAGTACATTTCAGGCTGGTCACCAGGTGACATCCAGCCACCATGGCCTGTGGGGCACATCACTTCTTGCTCTCTCCTGCTGTAAACCCACAGAGACCTGCCAGTGGCCTGACAATCCCCAGAGCTTCTCAGCAGGTGCCCAGTCACACATAAAGCATGAGTGGACAACCACGGTTTGTCACTACCTGAGAACACCTTGGGCAGGGAACTGGGTCCTGGTATGTGAAACTGCCTCCCACTAACCCAGACCCAGCAAGGGTATCCTTCACCCTACTCCCTCCCAAGAGGCCTCTACCAGCCTGGACTGGCCAATGTGTGAGCTGTTTCACTCCATAGCATGTCATATATTGCCTTAACAGTTCCTTTTTTGTATGTACTTGATTATACTGATCATAAACATAACTGTACTTTAGATTCTGAAGGCTATTGTGTTTGGTTAACAATGCCCTTCCCAAAACTTCTCCCTTCAATCCAAGAATGGCAAAGCAGAAGAGAAGGGGGCAGAAACAGGGGCAGCACATGCTCTTGACTGTGGTTCTGATACCCTGCAGTATGCCTACCCGACACAGGGTGCTGCACCCTCGTCTTCAGAGTGCTAGCCCAAGCTGGAGGAGACAAGGGCCCTGCCCCCATTTATTACAGCGAAACTTTATTTTCATATCATGTCTTAAATTTCCTGAGCATTTTTAGTTTCTTCCAGATTTTCCCAACAAGGCAGCGAGGCTAGGGGCACATTGTGAACTGAGGCTCAGGAAGGGGACAGGACTTTCCCAGGCACATACCTGGCAGGTGGCCCTGCCCAGTGATCAGCACAGGAACCCCAAGGCACTGCCTGCCCACCACAACCTCGCATTTGAAGGCTCCTGCTGAGTTCCCTGCAGACACCCAGACGGACACAAGGTAGCAGGGGCAGGCAAGAGTTGAGATTACTACCGCAGCATCAGGAAGGAGTGAGGGGTGCCATGTCAAAGAAAGGACATGGTGGCAAGTGCCCAGGTAGGAGAGAGTGTGAGAATCAGCAGGCAGCTAGGGTGTTAATCACAAAGCAGGCTCTTCCCTGAGACTTAGTGGTCAGTGAAGGAGAAGCTCAGAGTCATTTGGGACCCACTGCATTCGGGATGCCTAGTGGACAGACATCAGCAGAGACATCATGTGGGCAGCTGAGTGTCCCACAGGAGAGGTCTGGAGTGGAGGTGTACATCTGAATTGTTCAACGAACACATACATGCCATTTAGGGCTCTGGGAGGGTGGGCAGACATGAGGGTCAAGTGCAAAGCCCAAAGGAACCCAACATGGAGAGATGGAGGACGGTAAGCCAGAGAAGGAGACTGGCAGGAGAACACAAGGGCCTGGGCACCCGGAGAGGAAGAATTTCAGCAAGAAAGAGGGTGACTGCAGTGAAGGCCACTGAGAGGCCAGCAGTGACCTCTGGGTCTGGCAATGTGGAGGCCACAGGGACTCCGACTAGGCAGTGGAGAGCAGATAAGAGGAGCCAGCGGGTGTGCCGGGGAGGTCTGCGGATAATCGAGAATCATGTGGGAGGAACTCAGGGGGCATTTTGGAGCACGGAAGCTACCCAGCCTGTTCCTTTAGAAAGAGAGAAAGAGAGCTACTGAAGCTTCGAGCCCTCTCAAGAGGGTGCAGTGTGAGCAGTGCTTTGGGAAGTGCAGACACAAGCAGGCTGTGGGCAGCACAGATACTGGACAGCAAGGGTGATCCCAGAGGCTGTCCCCTCAGGCAGGTGAGAGGGGAGGTCATCACCCTGGGGCAGGTGTGGGGAGTGGAGACAGTGGTAGGAAGAGAGGAGAAGTGAAAAAAGCAACTCTTCTCAGAGGATGGAGCTTCAGCACTGAGCATCAATGAGACTGATGGCCCTGAATTTAAGAATGATTCTGTGACCCGTGACAGAGTACTTTCTCTCCAGAAGCATCCAGCCATGGGTGCACTTGGGAAGCAGACAGCTAGTGTCAGCAGCATGGAGTGGCCATGAGGTAGTAACCTGACTCAAAGCTCCTTATTAGACTCAAAGCACTGAGTCTAATGGCGCCCACTCTGGCCACCTTCCTCCTTGCTGTATGCAATCAGTCTGCTCCCGGGACCACCCCTAAGCCTGGGTGGGGGCCCAGATTCATCACCCCTCACACTCTCCAGCCTCAGTTCTAACCTGTAAACTGGGCCCTCCTGCCTGCCTGGCAGGGACATAGGGGGCCTGGCAGCCACACCAGCACAGGCCACGGTACCGGGAATGAGCCTGGTGCTCAGTGCACAGTGCCTATGATGAGAGCCCTTCTCCCTGCCCATCTCACCTGCCCGCGTTCTTCACGAAGCCCAGGTCAGCCAGCTCCACGTCACACAGCTCACAGCAGAAGCACCCAGGGTGCCAGTTGTTGTTCATGGCCTTGATGACACGGCCAGTGATGAACTCACCTAAAAGAGAAGTCTCTGCTTGCCAGGGCAGGGCACATGCCCCTCCCCCTCCTCAGCCCTGCCCCAAGCTGTGTCCACACTGGTGCTCCACCTGGTCCAGGGGCTCCTCCCAGAGCTTGGGAAGATAATGTGTGCAGGGGCCTGAAGGCTGGTGCTCACAGACACATGAAACAGGCATCCAGAGAAGAGCTGCCCGTGATCCTGCCCATCTATTTCCTGGGCCACACAGAGGCATGTGCTGTCTCCAGCCCTTACCGCATGATCCGCAGCACGGAGCAAACAGCATTTGGAAGTCATGTTCGCAGTATTTCCGGCCTTCAAACTGCAAATGGGGCCATCAGAGAAAGGACAAGCCAACCAGACATCATTCTGTGAGCTGCACTGGCCGGTCTTTGTTGGATCAGGACCTGCCCTTAGGCTAGACAAGCACCCCACTTCGTACAACTGTTACCCTGCAAGGAGTAGAGGAAGCACCCAACCCTCCCTCCAGAGAAGGCTTCCTAAAGGAAGTGATAAACAGTTGAAAGACAGCAGGGGCAGGGTACTGAGAGGAGGGCATGGCAGAGACAGGGAGCAGCAGGTACAAAACCTGGAGAGAGAGGGAATGGCTGGTCTACTCGACACAGGGGAGGGCACAGTGGGAGGCCTCATTAAAGTGGGGAGCTCAGCAAGACCAGCCCTCAAAGGCCATGCTGTTTGCTAAAGATAATTGGCCATGTCAGTCTTGGGAGCCTGCTGAGGGCTGGGGGTGGGAGCATAGGCTGGGAGGGCCGGTGTCAATTTGGAATTGCATGGAAACTTTTCCCCACTCCTTGTGTCTTCTCTGTATGAGAAGTCCATTTCCCCAGAGGCCACTAAAGACCCAGGAAAGAAAAACAGAAAGAGGACACAGGAAGTGGGGGAGGGTGCCTGAGGGACAGCCCCAAGTGCTGAGGCTAGCAGGTGCCAGTGTGGGCACCGTCTGTCTGGGCAATGAGGGGCCTTGCACTGGCCCCAACAGTAGCCAAAGCCTGCCTCTGCTTTTTTCTCTCTCCCTTGACAATTTTAATTGGTCTTTCTGTTCTCTAAAATGAGCATCTTATTATGTTGCAACTGGATATAGCCCTACCCAGTGACTTCTAGGGGCAGCCGGGGTATAAATTCATTCAACAAGCAGTATTTCCTGAGCACCCACTGTGTGCCAGGCTTTGTTCTAGGCATATGGCCACCACTCCCAGAGGTCTGCCCACCCCTCCCACTGCCTGTACAGTTGGCCAGCATTTCCCAGGAGGCACCATGAGGAACAGCTGCTCTTATGTTGCCATCTACCAGCCTTTGAAATCTATCCAGCATCTTCCACTGGTCACCACCCCACTGCGACGAGCAGTGGTGTGCCGCTAACTGTTTAAGGACCAGCTATGGTTGGAGGTCAGGTGCTAATCTGCAGTGTTTGCCAGTTTCTGTGGTGCACATATTCCCACCACAACCATGACATGGGCATGGAGCTGAGAAGAGACATGCAGGGCTATGCCACCATGGCACAGCACACCCACCACACAGGTGTGTAGAAATAACTTCAAAGGCACAGATCATAGTAAAATGTAGTAAAATAATTAGGAAATGGTGGGTTTTGAGTTTTGTCATCTTTGTTTTTTAATAAAACGTTAAAAGCTTCCCTCACACCGACCTTCCACTGCTTTTCATACACCCTGCACTCTCCGACCTCAGGCCCTTTGCACTTGCTATATCCTGCTCAGTGCTCTTCCTGTGTGCATGGCTTCCTCACCTCCTTCAGGACTGCTCAAACATTATTTTTCCTGACCACCCACGTTCCCCACTCAAGATACCTTACAACCAGAAACCAGAGCACTTAGCACCATCTGACAGACATTAAGTTACTCAGTGTACTGTCTGATCCCAAGGGAGGGTAAGTGCACAGGGCAGGGTGTTTGCATCCCAAGGCCTCCCAGAGTCTGCCCAGAGGGTGCTGGAGGAAAGGTGACTCTCCTTCAGCACCCACAGCCACCACAGGAGCACTGTTCACATCTCACAAGTGAGGGATGGGCCCACAAATTGTGATGATCAAGCATCGGTCACCAGTCAGGGTCCCAGCCAGGCACAGTCCACAAGATCCTGGAGGGCAGAACTGGAGCTGGGTCAGGGGGCTGGGGCTCTGAGAAGGCAGCTGGCTAAGGTCCTGGGAGCATCCTCACCTCGTAGAAGAGCCCCTCGGGGAAGGGCCGGAAGCACTGGGCACACACGAAGCAGTGCTCGTGGTACAGCTCTCCGTTGCTGTTGATAATTCGCTCAGCAGGAGTGAAGCATGCCTGGCAGTGCCGGCATACTGCGTTGGCCAAGGCATTGGACATGTTGCTGTGGGAAGAAGGAATGGGAAAGTCAGGACTGGGGACGAGCAAAAATCATCAGGCCTGGAAGGTGCACTCAATGGACATGCACCCTTCTTCAAAAAGATAAAGTTTTCTGGGCTACGAAAAATCTGTCTCCTCACCCAATAACGGTCTTGACACTGTGGGGACTCGAGAGACACATGGTCAGAGCCAAGCTGCTAGCACTGGCTTGGGTCACCCTTCATGGCCACCCACACATACCCATGGCTCTGCGGGCCATGAAGATGCTCAGTGCCAGTGCACACCAGGGGTCTCAGCATGCACTCATGGAAGACAATCCTGCCACGCCAAGGTGGCATCTCCATTTCACTGGTGGAGAAAGTGAGTGACCTTCTCAAGGGCCACAGTGGTGGAGGCAGAGCTCCCTGCCTCTGAAATCCACCTTTCGTCACACCCTGCAGCCTCGATGCAGTTCCTGGAGGGTCAGACATGGGCAGGCCACAGCCAGGTGCACACTGGTCAAAGCAATCAAGGCTGTGCAGCCTGAGCTGTCCCTCCATCTCTGCGCCCAGACTCCCAGCTGTGGAAAAACCATAATCATGGCTGCAGCGATGTTGGTTAGATGAGAGACACACAGAAGTACTCGTCTGGGCACCTAGACCACAGTAAGCCTCCACAAAGGACGGCGCTGTGGTTATCAATGTCACTGACTTGGTTCCCTCGCTGCTCAGTCCTTATTGTACTGAGCCATCTCTTGGGTGTCAATGAGCACCTCCCTCTTGAATCTCCTGTCACCTCTTCTCAAGGAACCAGAGGGTCTTGGGTATAAAATAGGTACAGGTGAGATGCTCTGTATTCACACCTTCATTTAATCCCCAAGGTAACCCTGCCTTCCAGATGAGACCTTAGGCTCAGAGAGGTTAAATTACTTGCCCAAGCTCACACTGCAGATGACATAGTCCAGATTTGAACTCAGATTGGTCAGACTTCAACAGCTCTTTCCACTGTACCGTGAGTTAGTGTCAAATCATCCGCCCTGCAAAAAAACATTGTATCACCCTGCCATGGAGAAGGTAAAAGTGTGAGTCTTTGGGACAGGAGCAGGGTGGAGAGCAAATCTCCTCATCTGTGGTGGGTAACTGGCTATCCCTGGTGGAAGTGAGGGGCTTTCTTCCAGAAAAAGTACAATCCAAAGAGAACTACAGGGGAAATGACCACACTGAGCCAGGCCTGTGCTGACTCCAGCCCGGAGGTCCCGAGGCATGGCCAGGAGGAGTCATGCCAGGCTCGATGGCCTCTACACCCTTCCAATGCCCTAGTGGCCATACCTTCTCCTAGAAGTATAGCAAATAGACTTTGTCCATGAGTCAACTCTGGTGGATGGGTGGTGCTGCCTGAAAAACTAGGCAAAGAAAAATAGTCCAGTTCAGCGAGAAAAGATGAACATTGTCATGTTTGAGAATATCTTTCCAGCTTGTTCTAGCTCCCAGGATATTGAACCCCATCCCTCTCAGCACAGGGTCATGAGGAGAATTCTTGAGTGAGCATATCCCCAGGCAGGCGGGGCCCTGGAGGTGGAAGTGGTTCTGCCTCCTAGGGATCTAGGCATAGGATGTGGACAGTGGGTCTTACAGAGGGTTGCTGCCACATGGACACAGGCCGGAGGCTGGGACGGGGCTTTCAGGCAGGACTTCCTCTATGCTCTACTTAGGGAACCTACATGGCAGGGGCAGGGTAAGAGGGCTTGCCGGATACACTGGACTTCTGCTGGCTCAGCCCCTCCATATTCAGGCTGCCCGGGCAAGGAAGCAGGATAATGGCAGAAGGAGTTGGTTAGAACCCAAGATAAAAGGGAAACTGTGCTGCAGTGAGCACCTGCCCACCCCACTCCCACCCTTGTCCTCCTCAGCTTCTTTGCTGGTCCCCCACAGAATGACAGACAGGGCAGAGGACTGACCGCCTGAGCCACCGCAAAGGGCGGAGCTGGACTTTATCAGCACAGGCATGGTTTCCGGCCCCAAGAGCACTGTGAACTTGGTCTTATCCTCCCAAAGCGCGCACCCAAGGTGGCAGAGAGGAAGTTCCAAAGCCTGGCTATAAACAAGACCTTGAAGGTCTTGGAGAAGTCAGAAATCAACAGGAAATCCTGTGACTGTGTGCATGCAATTCCCTAATCAAAGGACCCAAAAAATGAAGCTAAAATAAGGATTCAAGTCTAGCCACAAGCTTTTGGATTACTCCTTAACCCAGATTTCTGGGCCCTAAACACATAAGCACACAATATACCTACACTCTGTCTGTCCCTCCAGAGCCCCCATCTCTGCCCCAGGGCTGATGACCTGAGTCTTCCTGGAGTCACCACACCCCTCTAACAGGAGGACTGGCCTTTAACTGGTCTGTGTCTAGTTCCCTGACTGTGTCCCTGACATCTCAGGTCAAGGATGTTGCTGTCTGTCGCTACATACCTCATACAAGCCCTGTACAGAAAGATGGGTAGGGGGTGACCACCTAACCTTGCACCTACTGGCTGCTCCAGCCCAAGTCTCAGGCAGTAGCACCCTAATGGCACTCCTATGGCTGCTTCCCCATGCCGCCCTGCTCAGGAACAGACAACACTCCGACCCACTGGCTAAAGACAGAGGGATGGACAGATGTGCCCATCAATTGAACCACAGCACCGGCAGGGACAATACCAGCTGTCTCCTGTCAGGGAGAATCTGGGCTTAGCCCTACAGTTCAAATCCCAATAGTCCCAGCCACCGGCTGTGGGACCTGGAAAAAGGTACCAGCTTCTCTGGACCTCGTTTCCATATTTGCAAAGAGGTGCACCAGAATAACAGTAACTGCCTCGCAGAGCCAAGTGAGGAATTCATGGCATAGAGCATGTGGAACACAGAGCCCAGCAGGCTAAGTGCTGGACAAGGAGAGCTGTTGTTTTTAGCAACTCTGGGAGCCTTCCAGGGTCCCTCCACCCCCGCCCAGCCTGCTTCTCTGAAAGAGGGCAAATGGGACACATGGACATTTCATGTCCTCCTTCATACATGTCAGCCAAGAATAAGGAGCACAAGGTCTTCATGCTTATCCTCCTCGGAGACGCCAGCACCCACCCCAGCTGGACAACGTGCACGCTGCCAGGGGCACACCCAGCTCTCTGGAGGCCAAACCCTAGAGCTGGGGAAGAGCACACCATCCTGGACCCCTTCTCCAACCTTCCCCAGAACCCCTAAACACTCTCAACGGTGACAGCAAACACAAGTCAATTTGTGGGCTTGTGCAAGATGTCACTGAGCCTTACAATAATTTTTAGCCTGGGGCATGGGGTGTAGGACCTCTCTGTCCTAGGTCCTTGTGAAGGGAGACTGCTGGTTCCAGATAAGGGAACTGAAGCACAGAAAGGACCAATAGCCTACTGAGGGTCACACAGGATTGAACCCATGTTCTCTCCTGTCCCAACAGCTCCTGATGGTATCATACAGGCATGGCCATTCAAGACTGTTTTTTCAATAATCCCAGACCTTTCCCCTCTCCAGCCTCCACATACCTGAGCATAGAAAGACAGTGTCAGGGCTTGGGAACAGGCAACAACCAGTCACAGAGGTCTGTTCACACTCAAAGATGTGTCAGTGTTACTGAGGCCATGTCAGCCTGGGCAGCAGTCAGTCCAACGCATGTGCTCCATGGACAGGCAGGCCAGTCTGCAGTCCTGGCTCCAATGTTCCCTGGCTATGTGGCCCACAGCACAGTCCTCATTGAACCTTGGCTTTATCACCTTTAAGATGGGCCAGCAATAGCTACCTCCAGGGTTGTTGAGAGGGTAAAGTGAGGTAGCACCTGCAGGCATAGCCCGTAACTGCCCAGTAACTACCAGTCTGCAGTCTTCCTTCCCTCCTTCACACAGCACAGCACATCTTTTCTGAGCTACTGCCACGTGCCAGGCACCATTCCAGGTGCGGGGAGAGTGAGGGTTCCACTCAGCACCACCTTCCAAGCTGCAGTGGCAGCTGCTCCAGCACTGCCTTGAGCTTCCTTCCCACCCTTCCTCCTGTGGCCCTGGGAGGCTGGTGGCAAGTGTCACCCAGCTGTCCGTGGTGAACAGGAATTCACACACAGCCAGCTCCATTCCTGTGCTAGAAAATCAGCATGCCACCTTGGGCTGCTACACACAAAGCATTTACAACATCAGAAACATGTTCCAAATTTGTACAGATCCTTCCGAAATTACAGAGATTTTCCTGAAGCCCTAGCTGTACCTCTGCTCTAGCAGGTCAGTGTACTTTTAAGCAGGTGCCCTTTAAACACATCACGCTGACAACAGAGAGCTGGAGGAACCAGAAGTTCACAGAAAGACAAAGTTGAGTGAAATATAAGCACAGAAACATGCAGCATGAGCTCTCTTGAAGCTGGCTTTCACCATCATGCATGTGCCTTTCATGCCTCTCAGCCACGTGCACTCGGCACTGTGCAGGTGCTCTCTGACATCGCGTCTGACCTTCAGTGCCTTCCTGACCCACTCTCCACACCAGGGCTCACTCCATAGATGCCCGGGGTGCTCAGAGGTGGAAAGTGAGAGTTCCTATCCACTCAGCTTAGTTACCTGGTCTGCTGAGCCTCAGATTCCTCACCTGAACCATGGACATGCTCAATCCCATCCAGGTCCTTGCTGAGCCTGCAATGCTGGGTGCAGGTACAAGCCCAGCAATAGCTACCCCATAGTGCTGCTTGACAGTCTCTGCCCCCCTGCTTCTCCCATGCCCTCCCTCTTGCTCCATTCTCAGTCCAAGGCAACATGGAGGGCTCAGTCCACATCACCTCTGGGAAGGGGCCCATGCTGTGTGCACACGTGAGCACAGAGCAGGCTGCACTTGCACTGAGAACCTTTAGTCCCTGGACTGCTTTTCCTCCCTAGGTCCTCTGGGTCCCCCACCTCTATGACTGTAGCTCTCTATTTTCTCCCTGACTCCCCCTCCTCCCAAATTTAATGTCCTCTCCCATAGTTATTCCCCACACCTCCTCTGCTGGGAACTC